TGGAATTATTTGTTTCACATGAAATAAGTGATATTTGTAAAATTTCTTCTAACGTAGGCATTTGACGTTTGTTACTAAAGTATAGGGGAAAAGAGTTGCTAATTGCTCGTCAAAATTTACGCCAATTCATTTAAAAAGGGCACACTAAACTAATTTATTTCCTTAAAGACTTAATCTTATGATTTAGGATTCAATTAAACAAATGTGTTGCTTCTGAAAAGTTAGATTTATATTGACAATTTCTTATCAAAGAAGAACCTTACCTCAAAACGAAGAAACGACATTCATAGTTTATTTCCATATATTCTAATTATTTTCATCACATACATACATATCTCAGTTAAATTTAATATGGGCACAAAAACAAAACATAAAATAAGTCTTAAATGATACAAATTAACCCTTTAGGGTAGTAGCAGGAAAAATGTAATTATACAAAGAAAGCTTTCTTAGTAATTTTATTATTTTTCGCGTTTATTATCTACTGTTTTATATTTATAAAATGTTTCTGTTTCACTACCAGGTACCAAAACCGCTGACCCTGAAACATGAAATTAGTATTATTTAGTAATTCCATAAAAAAGTCATAATATGACAGTAACTAATATCTTAAACGTTCATTATATAATTAAAATGTATGCATCCTTCTGTTTTTTTGTATGAAATAAGAGCGACGTTATTATTTATTTAAAGTTTAGTTTATTTGACAAGAACTTGTCGTTATTTTTTTTCCTTTTTTACTGTTCCTTCTTTTGGTTTATTATGCCAGTAATTACATAATGGTAAAACCGTTTCTTTAGCTGAATAATACAATTATTATTTATTATTTGACTGCACGATTGGCGCGGTGGCTCGGCAACCGGCTGCCGCGCAACGTGTAGCGGGTTCGATTCCCGCACGGAGTATCTCTTTGTGTCATCCACAAAAGATATTGTATGTTTGTAAACGCACGCACGACACAGGAGAAAATCTTAGATAGGGGCAAAGTTTATTTAAAAAAATACTTAATATTATTTAACTATTTACAGAATATTATCTTTACCCTAAATTTTAAACTAGTGTTGCAACGACGATTTTGTTATCTGTGCTGGGTTCTAAGTGTGATGGCCCAGTTTGCTATCTAGGGAATCGATGATAGTGTAAGCTGTTGGGCGCAGACTAAAAAAATGTTTGAACAATTGATTTCAACTGCATTAAACATTAGTTTATTATAGAAATATAGGGATTTTCGTGAAAAGTGAATGTGTAATATATTACAGAAGAGACTATCAAAATTAATTTCGTCATGTCTATAGTTGCGCCTAATAGCGACATCTAGTAATTTATTGAAAGAATTCATAAAACCCTCTGTAACAACTGCACTGACACATAGACGGAACGAAAGTTGTTTAATCTCAAATTTCTTTAATACTAAAGCGGTAGAGGTCGCTAATAGTATTCGTATAGGTCCATAGTTTATACAAGGCGAAGAACTACGTAGTAGTAGTAAATGTAATTCAACCATTTTTATCAACTATCGTAATGAAAAAAGATAAAAAATAAATAAGTATTTACAAAGAGCGTCAAAAAATTCGTCCGCATCGATGGCAAAAGGGAAAACATGGCAATGTTTTTTTAGAGGGGTTAAAATTATCCAAAGACTTCTCCCGCCTTGGGTTAGGCGAGATAGTGTTATTCCTATTGACTAAAAACCACCCGGTTCTACTCTTGCTCTAAGAAACCGGAGCCGCGGCAACCGATTAGGCCTTTCGCAGCTCCGTATCGGGCATCAGCCCTACTGGGCCGACCACAGATGTGGATCTGTGGTGGTCTGATAGCTCTTTGAGGAAATCCATACATTGTACCGCTTTTAATGATGAGGATTCTCTTACCAATTTGATCTGCGATAAGATAGCACTCTCTGCCCCTGTTCTGTGGATCATCAACTGTCTATCCACAATCTCGACTCTTCGGTCGGGTTTACTATGAAAGGCTGTAGCCAACCCAGTTATGCCTGGCCAGGCGGTCGCAGAAACCAGATTGGCAATATTCTGGACGCCAATGGTGCCTTTCAAAAATTGATTTGCGGTCTATTTGTGGCTTACAAAAAATGCATTTTTTTTGTGCGGCTTCGCTGCGGCAAAAGCTATCATTGATCTCATGCTTAATTTCTGTAATGGTCTCAAGATTCTTTTATCCATGAAATCATGAAGGTTTTTCGATTTGATCCAAGGTGTTCAAGTTAATAAGCATGCAAGAACTTTTAATGCACGCTTTATTTACGAATTACCTCAGTCCATAAAGTTTTCCTGGTTCAAAATCAGTTTCGATATTTGAGTGAAGTTTACAAGAGAAAATAATTTTGTATTACTTAGGAACTGGAATGGGTTGTTATATTGCTGAATATATAGTTGATCTGACAAACAGCTCGCGTGCCCTTTCAGTATTATTAAAAACAGTTGAAAATGTTGTAAATGCTTTTTATAAATGGTTGTTCTATTATTGAGAGTATCAATTTCCATTACCCGTTGTATTATACAGAATGTATATGTTTATTCGTCATACTTATTACACTTACTAGACCTTTATCTTTATATTCCCTTAATGACCTTTGATTTAGCGCCTGACCTAATTTGCTATATATATAGGTTTGTTAGTCATACTTTAAAACCCAGCTTAAAATGCGAACCTTAGACTTGGTAGAACATTTAATATAATTATACAGATTTATGATTAACATAATACTACTTTGCGACTATTAATTTATATACAACTTAAAATATAAAAAAATAATTTAAAACTAAAATATTTACATCTTAAAAAAAATCATAATAAAAATAAATCATAAGGCATCAAAGAAAACATTTTCCTCATCGCTACCGTGAGGTATGGTGCCCAAAAGACTAGCAGCATTGTCACGTTGAATGGCAATGCTTAACCTTTGGTTAGTTATTTACAGAATGTTTTTGATGGGATTTTACTTTTTTCTGTAGTAACTTGGGCATATCGATTTAAAATACATTATTTTTTGATTTTCTTAATTGACACAACATTTCGGCAGACTATTTCTTCTTGTAAACTTGTATGTACAAGAAGAAAATATGTATAAAAGCTACAATAGTCTTATCCAGAGTTTTCCTATAATTATATTTGTATACGTATTAAAATTCAGAAAGGGAGGCATCAGCCCAACAATGGCGCCAAAGTCTTTAAATTTTATCTAATAAAATTTAAAGACTTACCACCGCCACATGACCAATACGCTGGATTTTTACAATGACAGCCGAAATTTATGTACCAATGGTAGAAGGGGCCACTACCATATCTTTAATACAGCTGAGACCTGCTGATGGTTCTTCATCAGATTCTTCAGACCTTGTGACCTACCAAGTTGAATATTTTTTGCAGAGGCAGTAAAAGTCAATCTCTATTAGTTTAGTTGGGCTCTTGTGGTTTCTAACTAGGGTCACCAGGTACTCCAGATCTTCGATTATCCCAGTTTTTACAGTTTCCTATACGTGGCCATTAAACTTTAACTCTATACCAAATCTCAGTTCTCTGAGTTTACCGGAGGTACCAGTGTTTTGATGATCATAAGTGAGTGAATGTCATAAATGTAAAACTTTGCTTTCATTTAAGTTCCAAAGTATAAAGTATAACTTTGGAACTTAATGACCTAAAGACTTGAAATTTTCGATTTTAAGTATGTGGTTATAGTTTACTAAATGATGAAATTTTTCCTCCCTGGAATAAAATTTCACGCAAGCTCCTGTGCCTTTAGCCAAACGCCACTTTAGCGCTTGTGTACAAAGAGAGTAGGAATCAAAATGTATGGGGATGACACTGATAAGTTTCAAAATTTACGTCAATTCCATATAATTTGGTTTTCTACTCTACATGTAGACAATCGCTAAATGGCATTTAGCTACAGCTGCTGAATTGATATCAACCGGTATTTTGCATTTATCAGAGAATCCTATTCAACATTTATATTACATTGATAAAATTGTAAATTTATATTTTACTAGCGATCCGCCCTGGCTTCGCATGGGTGCAATATGCATGTATTATACATATAAACCTTCCTTAATAATCACTATCTATTAAAAGAACCCCATCAAAATCAGTTACGTAGTTAAAGATCTAAGCATACATAGGGACAGACAGTCTGCGAATAGCGACTTTGTTTTATACTATGTAGTGACACGAAGATTTCCGCCGGTGTCGTGGTGTATCACACAAAGTGTAGCCCCGTGTAGTAATCGATTCCGCTACCCGTATCGCGGCAGCCAGTTGCCATACACATTATAGTGAAACAGTCACATAACGCTGAGTTTCATTTAACATAGGGCATCCTGGGATTAGTTCCCCATTCGTTAGTTTACTTCAAACACTACAGACAGATATAGAAGTACCGTAGGTACAGCGAGGCTCTGGCGACTATAGGTACTATTGTATTCTTCCTTCGTCTGAACGAAGGAAGAAAATTCATAATTCTAACACATAGCTACAAACCTACACTACAAATGAGTTTCATTGATAAGCATAAAATCCTTTCATCAAGCATTATCAAATTTCTCATCATCATAGATTTTATACACAGAAACCTAGGAAAATGCCAGTAACTATTGTATTCTGGTGAAATAATGTGGTCTAGTTTACTCATTATATTAAGACTAAGTTATATTTACGTATAACATGTATTACAAAGATATTATAGATATAGGTTATCATAATTTTTCAAAATGAATTTAATTTACAAAGTACTGTTCTTATTTAAGACTGTGTTCAATTGTTACGACTGTTATAGATCTTCGTATGACAGCCGGGTCCGATGGCTTTATGAGCTCGCCGAGCCACGGGATGAAACATCGCCAACTTCCAGAATCTATTCCCGGTAATTTAATGATGAAAAAACCGAAAGTAATTTCTGCCCGATTTCCTTGATCATATAAGTAGATTCTACATAATGTTTATTTTAGGTTACTCTAACAGTTCTCTATTATTTTATATGATTACAGGTGGATCTCCCAGTCCCAACCCAAGCTATGTGCCATCTAGCAGTTTTTCTCCGACGCGCCGACATGAAGCAGTCACGTCATCAGATGCAACGAGTGCTCGTTTCTCTTTTTGGCCCGATGGTAAATAATGTTTTTGTTGTCAACTAATCCGCTAATGGGACCCCTAGGTCTCATTGGCGGATGGGGACCGGTTAGCTTTAAACTGTATTAATTTTGTTGTTTTATTTCGTAAGCACATCGTAAGCCAGTATCAGATCTTCCAATCTATCAGCTACTCCAGCGTTCCAAAGACCTGTTGACGTTTTCCTATTAATACATGAAATATTATCTGCTCTGTGATCGAGAGGAAATCACTGAAAACATTACCTAATATCAAACTGTCCTCTATACCTAAATGTACCCCAATCGGATCAGTAGTTTTAAGATAAAGAGTCCTGGGATGCTGAAACTTGAAAAAATCTATTTTTCATTCACTATTGCATTGCACAACGTACTATTACTGTACATTTGGTTTGGTTTGGATTAATCAGTAAAGTAATATAGAAAGATGAATAAAATACATGGCGTAGTAATACATTTTAATGAATGTTGTCCTAATCTTAATTTCCGTTGTTTGGCAGTTGGCGTAAAAGAAGAAGCATCGTCAAGTCTCGTTTCTAATGCTGCACCTTATTCAAAATGTTTTATGTAAAGTTGCTGAAGTAAAGGGGAATCACAAGACTAGAATATCTTAAGCACCATGCGTGAATTATTATGGAATTATTGACTGTAATGTAAATCTCGTGTAGTGATCAGTGTATAAAATTTATTATAATGTAAACGTGCATTTTAATTTGTCAATCATATGTCATGCAGTTAAAACGAATATTTTAGAATAATTTCTTTATGCACATGAATTTTTGCCAATTTTAGAATGCTTACCTCTGAAATATTCGTGGCAAAACATGAATTAGATAGATATTGATTTGAAATGATATTATATGTAGTGTACAATTTATAATATGAAAATATATTAGTTAATAGGTGTTGTTCAAAATCTTGTTGCTGTCTTAGAAATAAATAATAGATTTGTAAGAAAATTAAGTATCTCGTTGGATCATCTAGTTGGCCTTGGCTTCAAATTAAAGTCATCCTTATATTGTTCTTAATATTTATAAAAACAATGTTGGTTACACTCTTTTCATATCTTTATTATTTTAATTACAAAAACCTACAAATTCTTACAGAGTCTTGAAATATCAACATAAATTACTGGTACACAATTTATTAAAATTAAGTTTTTATAATATCATCAGAGGTGTCTTATTTAACAACAGCTACACAATATAAACGCTTGCGAACTGAACGTTACATATTTATTTGATTAATATGTAAGTTTATTCTTTAACGAATAGATACATATACGAGCAATCGATGACAAATCCACGAATATAGACTAATAACGTTGATATCTGTCGAGAGGCACTCGATTGGGTTAATCAAATTTATGATAAAACACGTGGCTTGTTCGTTTAGATCCAAAATAAAGTTTTATAGGTATACCGGGTATACGTGAAACTTATCGATTTATGTGCTTTTATGTCATTAATTAATAAAACCTTATATTATTGTTGTTTTATTTTTTATAAACTTTGTAGAAGACATATTTCTTGTAATGTAATTTTTCAAGAAATCTACTGTAACAAAACATAAAAAATGATCGGTAAATATATACATACATTATGTAGGTGTATACTTAATGTTTACCAACAAAATAACGTGTTGACGCATAATAATGTGTACTAAGTTGTCTACTGTATATTTATTTAAAAAGTAGGCTCCTATTTATCATAACATGTTTTGCATGACTTGGATAAAACGAATTTTTTATTACATATGGCATCCCTTAGAACTATGTAAAGTCTCAATCGATAATTTGAATAAATTGCGACATTTTCATAAATCTATTTTACGAGTACTACCTATAATACATAAAATGTAAATCATATAACCGTAATACGTTTTCATTAATCTTAGAACACAAAAAATGTGCGTGCTTACAAATATTTGAAACGTATCTGTAAAGCCACTTTCCATTGACACTAGTTTCTATATTGTTCCACAACAACCATTATTTATACAATGATTACATTATAAAAGAAACTTTAGATATTAAGAACTGCACATAATTTTGGGGTAATCCTCTTGATTTGGATTTCAATATCAAAATGTGTATAACAATATAAACCCCACTGGCGGTATCAAAAATAATCACATTCTATAATTTTGGACATTTCACCTCGAAAGTGTTTGATAACTATTCCTTAGAAACTTATCAACATTCTTTACTGATACTTAAAATTAGGTTTGTTTATTTAGAAGTGTCTTTGTGGATTCGTTTCAAACGAAGAGATTTGCTGCGTGGCTCCGGAGCTCGATTCAGCAAGCCAGATGATCTCTCAACACTTAGTGAGTGGCCACGTTCACGCACGGGCATAGGATGGGTCAGCAGATGCATGGAGGTGTTGTAAGCCGATATCATCGGTAACTCACTATAACCACCAACATCACTCCTCAAATCGGACGCTGCCAACGATGTCAAGTCGTCAGAATCAGTATTTTCATCTTCCGTTTCCATAAACCTGAAAAATGTTGTTTTTTAAGAAAATCTAGAAATGATCTGATCACATAAAAGCCGAGCATTCGCAATGATAATAGGTATTACCTATACCTACGCTCACTCAAATGAGATAAACATTCGCAAGTGCTTTTATATTAATCTAAAACAAATAGTTAAAGAAAAACAAAGTTTAAAATAATTTATATGGCCATTGCACCGTGTTTGCAATTTGCTCTCGAACTACGCATGAGATGTGATACGCACCTTAGCTCTATTTTACTAATTCTTTGTTTTATTTTAGCCTGTTCTTCTCCGACGTCAGTAAGTAGTCCTTGTAAGCGATTATTCAACATATCAACGGTAGTTTCCAATTTGTGCACAGTTTCCTCCATGCTCTGTTGAGTTGTTTGTGCATTTTCGAAAACGGCTTCATCAAGCAATCCATCCTGTAGTTTCAAAAGAATTGTATATATTTGTATATATGTGTATGAGTTAATATTTTAATTATGGTTATACTTATATGTGCTTATACTTTATGTGGTTATATTGGTGTGGTTATACTTTGGGTTAATACTGTATGTGGTTATACGTTTATACTTTATATGGTTATACATTATGTTTTTTTGTCACGTCTACTGTGACATTTGTGACATTGTTTACGAACCTTCCTTAATAACTGACATCCACGTTCAGTGAGTGTTGCTCTGGCATCTGGATAGTCAGCAAGTGCTTCCCAAAGATCTCTTTTTGCTAAGCAAAACAAGTCTGAATAGCCCAAGGCTCTCACATTAGCCGTTCTTCTATTACCGGTACGGTTACCAGCTATTTCGAGAACACTCACTTCTCCAAAGACAGAGCCAGCGCTCAAAGTAGCTAATACAGTTTTGCCATCGTCAGCTACAACTTGAAGTCTGCCACGTTTAACAATATACATTTCTTTACCAACATCTCCTTTGCGGCAAATATAATCCCCAGGACTAAAGACTTGAAGTTTAAGTTTAAGCACTAGTGCTTCAAGTAACCCAGGTTCGCAGTCTTGAAATATTCTCACTTTACGCAAAGTATCCAAGTGGACGCGTATTGCGATTTCCGCTTTAAGTTTATCGGGCAAAGATGATAACACATTTTCTTCATCTAATGCTCCACTTTGTGCCCAAGTGTAAGCAAACCAACGAATCACTCGGGCTTCCAGTTCACCGCTAACTTTTCTAAAAGCCATGTATTGTTTAACACCATCCATTTTGTTTTGAAATTCCACCCTAGCAACGTTCATATTCGAAATCATTGACCCAATATTTCCAACAATGGTAGCAAAAATAAGAACACCAGCTAAGAAGTCCCCTACGACAAATAAGTATTCTGCATCAATTTCTGGCTGTGGAGTTTCTCCAATAGTAGTCAAAGTCAGAGTGGACCAGTAGAAACTGTAAATGTACTGATGTGCCAATGTTTCATTGCGAGCTCCTGTGATATTGTAAACCCAATTATCTGTCCCGAAACCAATTGCATAGCTTATAGCGAAATACAAACATGCATTCCAATGAATCAGGACAAGGATCGCCATAACAACCTGGAAGTGGATAAGAATTTTTTTTTTATTTATTAATTTTGGTGAATAAGGAAACATTTATCAAAAATATCATGAAACGTATTTCCAACCTTACAAATCCTGAACGCGTTTGGATAGCTAGTGGCAGTCTCAGTACGATCAAACCACTCCCACATTCGAGGCAGGCGAAATAGTCGATTGAGTCGTACAATAACAGGGCACGGCAAACAGTTCTGGAACAACCAATATTGACACTTTTGTAATAACTTAGTTAAGGAATGTTTTGGTAAACTATCTTTACGTTTATGACGCGAAACACAATACGAGAACGGTCTCCATAAGGTATCATAATGCCACACAACCCTTTATGCTTCAATAAAAATTTGTGAGAGCGTTACTAATTAAAGAATCTTTTCTGTGAAAGTTTTGAAATGCGTACCCGTGCTATAAACATGTAAAAAATATCTATAGACATACAAATATTCTGATTCAAACCTGACGTCAGTGCAATGTTTACGACCATGACAACCAAGGATCTTGGTTTCAAGCGGGGGTCAGTGTTACCAATTATTAATTGGTCTTGAAATTCTCAGTAACACTAAGTTCTACCAATTTATTTATGACAATAAGACATAACTGGTCCAAATGATATCAATCGTTTTGTACATGACAAGGCGTGTTATTTTTATAAACGTTTTCAAGTACTAACAGCATCACAAGTTCCAGGAATCCACCAGTAGTAGGCTAAGTCAGTAGGCAACAATGATATTAAGTCGTATCGCCACGATACTGATTTTAAATAATGTTTCCTGAGCATTTTTGGATCCTTTACCATAAGACCTTGTTCAAGGTAACCTGCAAAAATAAAAGAGATTAGTTTTGAAGAGTTCATTTTTAAAACGTTGAAGATTTCTTTATTATACAGTATTTTAAACCCGTGACTGCATGGTATATAGATAAAAATAAATGTTGCAATCTATCTCTGTACAATTTTACAAATTACTGAAATAATACATAAGTTGTGACGTAGGAATTATTAGTACCTAAAGACGGTCATATAATCCATCTGGTAGATTTTGCCTGAAAGAATAACTAGCATGCATCTATATATCTTTACAAACTGGCACATTTATACGTAGAATGATAGTAGACAGTAAGACAACTTTATTATTTTAATATAATTAGTATTCATTTTTAGATAATTCCTATTTAACCCGTAGTCTATAAAGGTAAAGGCAAAGCATAAAGACAAACAGAAAAAGGGTACCGAACCACAAATGAATTCGCATTTATAAGTCTCATATCTACTGAGCAACATTTGACGCGCCACATGTGATGCTCAAATCGCATTGTTTTATAATATAATACCGAACAATGATGTGCGGGCAATATTGCCAAATGACGCGCAACATGACACACGGCATCAGTAGGTTTTTACGGTGCAACATATTGATCATCAAATGTTTTTGAATGGAGACGTGGAGCACCCCACTACTTCTCTAGACTCGCGAATGTTGCGAACAAAATCATGTGTACAAATACCAAGATAGTCAAACAAGATCAAACAGGGAAGTTACGGGAACTTCTCATCAAAAATCTCACAATGCCTAAAATACCGATTAACCCGTGTTTACTATTGCTTGGTACTTGAGACAAGGCACCTGACTTCTGAGTGCCAAGCACGAATAATCTGATTGGTTGGTTTACTGGAACCGGCCAATCAGAGCGCCGAACGCGCGACTATTGGAATTGACGTGTCTGTACTGAATGTCTCATTACTTCTGTAAGAAGAGTTTTTGTCTAGCATTGAAACTGGTACACTTTGTTTTATTACACAGTAATTTGTTTCAGAAACCTTAAATGGTTATTTTTATTATTTTTATATATTATTTATATATTTTTAACATAGTTCCATCAAGAACCATCTTGATTATATTATTGGCTTGAATAAAGCGGCTACTTTCATTTTCACACGATAAATTGCATCATTAAGGAACTTACAACCTGAAATCGGTCTCGTTCCGCGATCGCAGAACGCGACACGCTGTACACTTGGAGCCATCAGACCACTACAGTAGGGCTAATGCCCGATGTGAACCCTCGGAACACTTACAATTGCCAGGGCTCTGGCTCAAAGAGCAGGAGTAGAAACGGGTTTTTTAGTCAATAAGAGTCTTGACACTCCGCCTTCGCCTCACTCGGGCGGGAGAAGCCATTGTATAATTTTTGGCTCTCAAAACAGAGCCTTACATAAAAGTAGAGCACCAGGATTTTTTTTAAGGGGGGAAAAATCATCAACTGACTGCTCCCGCCTGTGTGAGGCGGGAGGGATTGTCAGACTCTTACTGACTTAAAACCACCCCGTTCCTTCTTCTGCACGTCGAGCCGGAACCCCAGTTACCCGTTAGGTTCTCCGATACGTTTCCAATAAAACGTGATGACGCTAAGTATATATGTTTTTGGTAAGCAATAGGGAAATAGCCAATCAATCACAATACCCATGGAACAATGTCCTCATATAAGGGCAATGCAATATTTGTGCGGAAAAGCAACTAGGCAGGGTCGAATGTTTGTTCACACGTTAGCTAAATTTGATGACGCAAGGCGCGGCTATGCGTGTGGGTGTCAAATTGTTGATTTGCGGGCTCACTCCAAAGTAATACTCGCAACTTACAATGTCGTAAACTGTATCGACTATACCATGCCCTTCTCTTGATGTTTATTATGCAGTGGCTCAATTATGAAGAGTTTGCTCCAAAAACTGTTCGAACAATTTAAGTAATTTATCATACACATCTGTGTGTGATATATTTCATCTCACACCTATTCATTTTAAAATAATGACTGAATTCTTCATCTATTCATTAGAAATACCAAAGGGAGATTATACTAAATCTTGAAAATGTGCATGACAATGACCTGTACATTTAGGCCTATAGAGGAAGGACTACACAACAAAAAATACGTCGCTTTCTTGCTCAAGTTTCATATGGTGTGGAAATTATATTTTTCCCCAAATTAGGCAAATTTTAATGTAAAATGCTCTGACGCTAAAACTATTGATTGCACAAAAAAGACTTGCTTTGACCTGCAGAATCATTCTGTCTAGTTTAATGTCGAAGTACATCTGTATCTCGTAAAATTTATTGAGAGGGGTAAAGTAAATAAACTGTTATTAGCCGCACTTCTTTCCAAGATGGGGGCGAGAGCGGTACACGCGAGATGACCAAAATGGAAATTCGAAAAAAACACTTCAATATCTATATTAAAATGGCCAATTTTCAAAATAACTGAACTAACTACGAAATATAACTAATGAATATGAGGCAAAATAATCAAATCCACGCCATTAATATAAAAATTAACATAGGTCTATCTAGTTGAATAACGAAATCTCTGGTTATTCAATACAAGTTATTTTCTACTAAAGGAATGCTTTCTTTCTGATCTTTTAATTTTGAGAGAGAGAGAGAATCTAACGACCGACCAAAACGCAACACTGCATAAACACTAGGCGCCAAAGATCCGGGCGACTTCAAATACAATCTGGTTTCGCAACGCAATAACGTTTTTGTACAGTTGAGTCGTTTCCAAGTATACCTTAAATGGACCACTTTGTAGGGGTGAGTGAAGTCACATTGACAATTTTGACGACGTAATACTTCCTATTATAGGAATATTTCTAACCATATTACATTGTATAAGTACGTATAACCAGCAAAGTGAGAGCATTTATTTCAATAAATCCTTAAGTACCTACCTGGATACCGAGCTTCGCTGTGTTTTTATATTAAACCAATTTTCTGAAAATGATACCTAGCCACTACATCGATTTATCTCCCTGGAAACCCCTAAAATATAAAATTTCAAGAACATCGTTGCAGCCGTTTCCTAGATCAATGATTCATAAAATGTATACAAGAATTGCTAGTTTAAAGGTATTATACATTAGATAGAATCGATCGCACTTTTGACACTAAACGACAAAATAAATTATGACGGATAATTTAATATGACGTTTGTCTGTCAGTGATGCTAAGTGCTCCAAAGTGTAGTTTCGAATATAGAAGTATGAGCAAAAAGCTCCATAAACTACATAAAGGGCGCTCTAATGTCGATTTTTGTCAGTTATTCTTATTTCCGACTTCCTTACATATTAAATTCATTTTTAAAATTCATCAGAATGATGACACTTCATGAAGTCAGTTATTGTGTTATTATAATAAATCGATATTATTGTGCAATTCGATGTTAATGCATAGCGACGTTTATTCTCTACAATAAAGTAAAAATGTTATAAACTATAAACAGTAGCAACATTCGCTCTATGAATTTCGCAAAGAACTATGTAACGCTCAGCATGTAAACAAATTTACATAGGTATAAAGGCCGATTTTTCAATCAGTTAATTCTTAACTGTAGAATAAAATTTACAGTTAATAGTTTATAGTATAGAAGAATCGTCAATTATTGAAAGTTATTATTCCTCAGTTAATATCTGAGCATTGAAAAATTGACCCTTAGTTAATTAATAAAGTTCGGACTATTTATTAATAGGGGAGCCCAAAAGAGGGATATTTGGAACGTCTAGTACTCGTTGAATATATGAAGTATTATAATTATATGTAGAGTATAACTGTTAATGTAGAACCTTGTTGGTGGTGCTAAAAAAAAAAAAAAAAAAAAAAAAAAAAAAAAAAAAAAAAAAAAAAAAAAAAAAAAGACCACAAAATTGTCCATTTACAGATGTGCTCATACAAAGTTTGTTACTTTTCATGGTTTTATCTGGTCACTGCAATCTTTTGCGTTTATTCCGCAACATCTTGTATTATCTGATCTAGATAGGAGACTATCTATCAGTTTCGTCATATGAGCTGAGAGGATGATCCATGCTAAGACAGGGTCATATCTGACCCCTCAGGATGGCCTCCCCCACTAGACCCTACAAACTGACAGATTTTAAAATTCTGAGATATCCATCACTCTCAAGTAACTTTCGGACCTCCTCTATTATATTAGGGTGGATACAATTTAAGATGATAACAATTTTTTACTACGTTAAGAAAAGGTTACAGAATAAAAAAATACCTTCATGAATGTGCACGATGGTATCAAACACGTAAATGGCATCACAGAGGTAGTCCAGCACAAACCACAGGGATGTTAGTTTATCCAGTTCCCAGAAGACAGCTCGCCCAATGACGAAAACCATGTTGTACAAAATAGCTAACGACACCACAGCCAGCCACTGTAAACATGTATTCAATATAAAACATAATGTACAAACAATATGCAAGTTTTATTTACATGAATGTAGAAAGTACTTAAATAACACAAAAAAACTTTCACCTTTGAATAAACTGAAATTAGAACAAATATAGAGGAACGAAAAGAAAACAAAAAAACATATTATTAAGGCGTTAAAGTATTCCCCCGCATCACTGTCATTGGGGAAAGTTCCCAGAAGACTGACAGTATTACAATGTTTAATGGCAATGCTATCTTTCTGACCAAAAAAATCACGTAAAGTCACGTAAAGAGTCGACTCGAAAACGGGAGTTAATGTCGCCTACTGGATTGGAATTTTAGTTACCTTTTCACGTAATGTAAGGTATGCGAGTAGGCACAGCAAATGAAAAAAGAGGTGATACCTATATTATCTTCTGGATTAACGCGTATCTAGCTATAAGGCTTGACCAAAAACATCGTTAAGAAAATAACACGTCTAGAAAAGTTGTGACCGAAGTCATGGATGTGCCGAATGGGGTACCTATCAGGTACTGTTTGTGCGTTGAACATTCTATAATCTCCGCATGGCCGCTATTCATTTTGTCAAATGTTATTGAGATTTTTTTTTATGGAATAGGGGGCAGACGAGCAGACGATCAGCTGATGGTAAGTGATCAGCGCCGCCTAAGGATGGATCAATAAGAAGATAGGACACAAAATTTCAGCATCCGATTCTCACTGCATTCGATGTTCTAGATGTAGTTGCATCAAACTTTTTCAGCACCACTGCCGGGCGGGCGGTTTTGATGAATTTTCTTTTTTCGAGAATATTGTAAATGTGTAATTTATGTACCTTTGTTAATCATTTCGAGTAATCCTAGCTTCGACACAAAGGGACCGGCTGCTTGTGTATCGTCGAGTGGAATTAATTACCCCTTCCCCAATCTCCCCAATCCCTGAATTCCCAAAAAATCCTCAAATTCATAATGCCTCAAAGGCCGGTAACGCACCTGTAACGCTTCTGGTGTTTCGGGTTACCATGGGCAGCGTAAACTGCTTACCATCTGGTCATCCGTATGCTCGTTTACCGACTTTTGTAGCAATGTCGGACTAAATAACATTTAAAAAGTTTTCCAAATTGTATTAATTTAACCTTATATGCAATTAAGAAACATCATTAGCCTTTTACAAAGTATTACTCACGACCACCTTGCATTAGATATTTTGTATATATGATGAATGACTGATGAAATAAACAATTATTATCATTATTACCTAAGTTACTTACGTGGTAATGTCCCGGGAGAGTAGGGTCGAATGCAAGTTTCAGTCCGCATAATAATTTGGATCGTTTAGCTTGGTATAAGGGCTCTTCTGGATCAGTGAATGTCTGCGCTGCAAACTTATCTAGGAACCAATCTGGTGTTTTGGAGCTGCCTTCTCCGCTAATACGGTAGCGAAGATTTCGAGTTACTCTTGAGAATTGTCTCTGCATCCAGTTGCTATTAGTGTTATCCTCATTGGTCGCCTGTAACAATAAAATTACAATTATGATTACAATTACTTAATAAATTATGCTACATATTTTGATCGCATGTATCTCACATGTGGCTTGGATACTCATAGAGCTTTTCGCAACCAGTTTACGCGAATAAACCGTGTATTGCAATCAATATGGAATATACTTATTTACTTTTGGTCCATACAAACATTTTATTTTCTTTTTGATCTAAAATTGATAAATACAAATCGAAATTGACAGCCATATTATTAGATAAATGACTAGCTCCTTTCGCGCGGTTTCACTCCTTCTGCTTGGCGCCTATTTATCGTATTGTGATATAGCCTATAGCCTTCCTCGATAAATGGACTATCCAAAACAGAAATAATTTATAAAATCGGACCAGTAGTTTCGGATATTAGCGCGTTCAAACAAACAAACAATAAAACAAACTCTTCAGCTTTAATAAATCTATTTATTAATCTGTGGTATACACAATGTGTTTTCTATTGTGTCTCATATAAGCAGTTAAATACCAGTCGTAAGTATTTTTCTTATCTTTGGCATAAGATCAACTATGTTTAAACGGCATACACATAAGCTTAGAAAACGTAAATTAGTAAATAGTGCACACAGTGCATCAGTATACTTATTGGAAAATCTATTCTACAAACCCTTTATGGTATTTTGCTTTAATAACAAGTTACTCTGTAAAGATATATTACTAATAATGTTTTACAGCTGAAAAGCAGATTTGTTTGGTTGGTTGTGGGCGCTCATTTCCCCCATTCTCATTTATCATTGTTTCCTTAACAAACTTGAGATTTTTTCGCAATAGCAATACGATCGCTATTTATGTTTCTGAAGGTTAAACAAAAATTTTTACTCGACCTCTGCAGGTGTCGTTGGATAACCTTTGCCTCTTCAATTACAATATAATTTATAAATAGTTTCCTAAATAAGAGTAATGACTTTCCTCATCGCGCTGTTTTAAATTTATATCAAGTCTTTGTCAGGCTTACATCGCGATCAGTGTCGTTATGCCATACTTAGTATCTGTCGGCGAATGGACTATGAATTTAAATCAGCCATTATCAATGTGTATCATGTCATTGAATCAATTTTGGAATCTTATTTCTATTGTTAGTTTTCAATCATAAAATAATTATTTTATGAGAGGTTCTTAGTCTAAGATCTTATATTGGGGTATTTTAGGGTTAGATAGCTGACTGTTAAAAGCATTTACCTAAAAGCATATAATTATGTGTAATAATATCGGATTACAATATAAAGCAAACCAAATATCACCATAAGAGAATACTACCAGACTTGTAAAGTAATAAATTTTGTTTCGTATCTGATATCACTAGGTGACATTGCGTTTTAATTTAGTTTATTTCATGCCAAATAACTCGCTTACGTTTGATATTACACCATATCTATATTTATGAAATAACATCCCCTGATTGACTGATTCATCATCGCCGAGCTCAAACTATCAATGCTTCAGACATGAAAATAGGACGGAAATTTTTTAAGGAATATAACGGGACAATACGATCCAGGACGATAGTGTATGTTATAAAAGTCTGTGTTTTGCTTTCTAGATATTACTTAATCTGGGACGTAATAAGGGTTTGAACTTTGTATGGGACCTTTATCTGAGGAACACCAAACTTTGTAGGTTAATTTGAAACAAATAATCTGTCAACAATAAATCAACAAATATCAGGCTGAATGTATTAACTGTCTTTTTGGTCGAGTGATGAGTATGATCATGTGTCACTTTCTCGATTTATGTGCAGGGTAGCCTTCCCCTATGAAACGTAATATCTACGTTTTTTGATTTGATTACCATGGCAAGTGATATGTATTAGTTGTAAATGGATTTGATAAGCCTTTGAAAATCTGGGGGATAGATATTTAACAATTGGAAATCATTGCAACTCGGTAATTAAGAGTAAGCGGCACACACCCGGTATATTTAGAATTCGATAGAAAAAGAATGATCCAAATCATTAACTCATGTAATTGAAAAAATAAACTAGGCTCCTGATGTTTGTTGGAGATCACGAACAACGCTGAATCGTCAATCGTTGACAAAGTTCATTGAAACATCAAATAATGAAATATCGTTAGATTTCTCTTTTTTTCATCATAATAATGCACACACCAAAAGCACTTCTACCATAAAACAGTAATTAAAATGCAAACACCAGCAATTATGACATCAGAATCGGGCGATAAGAATGTTTCTATCGGTTATAACATTGTACTTAGCCATTGAATTTACGCCTGTTGTTTAGTAACTGGCTCATTAGCGGCTGGTGATGTGTCAGTGTCAGGTATCAATGGTTATCGGTTATTCAAAATATTTATTTCATTCTGGTTTTACTCAATTAACCTTTGCATTGTTAATTAATTCCGTCGCAATCCGATGAGTTCCTCAATCCAGTCCATATCAACACTCTGTTTAAGAACCTACTTTAAGAAAATTCAGTGCGCGGTGAGGCAAAAGGGAGTATCAGACTCTTACTAACTAAAACTTCAAACTGGAAGAGCTGGAGCCTTGGAGCCCCAGTATCCCGTTAAGTTGTCCACCGTTCCGAATGTAAAGGTCTTTGCATTTTAATTTTTATTACTTGTTTTTAGCAGTCATTATGCTGTAAAGGTTGGCCAGGTATCTCATTTCAGCGGCCAACCGCCTGACGCGGTTGCCAGAGCAGTTGGCTACCTCGACGTCTGTTCATTTATTCATGAAATATAGGCGGCTAACTGCATCCGCGGTTAATTTTTGCTACGTTATAGCGATAAAACGTCGTCGAAGCTGTTGAAGTACGTCATCGTTCAATCTATTCTATCATCAAAAGGTGTTATTTCAGTTATTTTTCCAACCTGTCTTACCTACAAAACACGGGTACTTATTTATTTGCGTTTCAAGGCATTTGAAAGGCCTTACTTTGCCAAAAGCTTTTGTTTCAACGTCAATACTTAAAAAGAACATCGTCGAGGAAAACGATGAGAGAGCAAAGTCCCTGTCAAAACCCTTATCTAAGTTCGTATTCTATCCTTTTTAAAACACCTGTACAGGTTTTGAAGTGGAGTATACTGGTAATGGCTGGCTTTCAGTTACTACTAATATAACTGCAAGAGTTCTTCCAACGTTCAAAGACGTTTCTTTGGCCATATCACCGTCGAGAAGAATCTTTTGTGGAGCGATCGATTTGTAGTGTGAGGAAAGGTTGAGGGTACAAGAGCGCGTAGGCAGGTCACCGATGTGATGCGGTCAGATCAAAACTGCACACAAAGATCCACTTCATCAATGCAAAAATATGGCTGTGGTGCGCGAGAAGACGTGACGAATTGTAAAAATTTCCACCCCCACCTGACACGACGACCACGATCGCTCACAACTAGGAAGAATGTGGGATAATACGGCACAACATAGACACAGGTAGATACACTTCATAATATCGTTAATTGCTTTGAAAGTAAATACTACATCTCCACACTGTTTGTTTGCTATTCCATTGCTCTTTGGTATTTAAGTATTATTATGAAGCAAAATCTTATTCCCCGTGTATTTATGGGCCATGTTGATATAATTTCATTCGGATAAAATTCGCAACATTTCGCACATGTAATGCGCCTAGTGTTCCAGGTGTCCATGGGCGACGGCAATTGCTTACCACGATGTGATCCCTGACCCTCTTCTCGTTTATCGGCTCATGCTATAAAAAACTCATAAAGAAAAATGCACTATGAGACTTATTAGAGCATAATGTCATGTCAACAATCGAAATTGACTTAAAAGTAATAATTGGTCATATATTATGGCGCAAGGAATTTCAACCGGCAGCGAATTTGTTCAAAAATCGATTTCGTCACGTGGATTTAAAAAAAGCTAAGCGCTAACCATGCCCATAGGCTATTGTTTACTGGGATATAAGTGAATGAATTTTAGCGCCGGATTAATTAATAACACAATTGGATATATGCATTTCCCCATTTACAAATTGCCATGGATATTTAATTATCTTCTATAGGCAGGATCTGATAAAAAAGTTTATCTATATTAACTTCATATCATACACGTTTTCTGTTACCGTTTTTAATCGTACGGAGCCGTACACACAGTTTTGCCGTCTATTTCTACACTATCTTGTTCTAGAATACACTATTTCGTGTTACTTATGGGGTAGCGACAGTGACTACTATTTGATTAACTAATATTTGATATTTTAGAATGATTAAAGTAATATTTGTTTGACTTACGCTTTCGGAGCAATAGGGTTTGTTGTTTTATAATTTAATCGATTTCTTACCAGCTATTATTACGTTTTAGATCTACATAAGGAAAGTCTTTAAAAATTGAAAGTAACTTGTTTAGTTAATAAAAATCGTAAGTTAATCGTAAGTTAAGTATATAAAAGAAATAGAAGTTAATAAGCAGGGTAACTAATCAATTTTATCTAATTGATATGGCATGTGTTTCTTCTATTACTATACCGATGGTGTATGATATCATGTTTACCATGGTAATGGTAGCATTAATTGATTACTGGCTTTGTTAATGAGCCAAGTGGTTAGTCATAGATCACTTTTATTTTTATAAATGAAAATACACAATATGTATTTAACTTTGAACTACGTACCTATTATGTAATTCAAGTTTATTAGAATGGGAAGGTATAAATTAACTTTATTAAAGACAATGTTTATCCAACCAAAAACATTCTGTAAAAACTACCCAAAGTCTCGATGGAGCCGCTCGATCTCTAAAAAGCAATGAAATCAAGACAAAGTCCTACCATGTCTAAGGTTCTTTACTGCGATTTCTTTATTATTTTAGTTAATGTTGTGTGACTTGGCCGTGGAAGGGAACACAAGAGTGCAAGAAACCATTGCACCAATCTGTCGCCAGAACCGCGGTTTATTCAATAATTTTTTTCCAAATGGCAATTTTCCATATTCAACGGGTACCGATGAATGGTGATATTAAGGTTTCAATATTTTATTATGTTTAGTTTATTCCTTAAAATGAAATTAGCTAAATATTAATAATATAATCATAAAAATACGTGTAATGCCTATGATAAATAATCCCACTTATATTGTAACAGTAAACGTTTGTAAGGAAGTATAGTATTTGTTATTCTTTCGAAAACTACTAAACGGATTTGGATGAAAGTTTGTAAAGGGTTGATTATAATCTGGAATAACATATGGGGTAATTTTTATCACAGGAATGCTACCAAGTGATAAGTGTATATTAATAAAGAATGTGATGATGATTATTCGCGCAGAATGTGTCAAATAAATGTTAGTTTACAGATAGCATAAATTATTGTGCAATGGAAAACTACAAAAAAATATAAAGAAAACCACCATATTTCAGAATTCACAACATGGCTCTTTATTTAAAGAAGGTACTGTAAACGTAAAGGACCAAAGACTCGAAATAAACGATGTTTCGTCATTGTCCAGAACATACCTAGGTATTGACAGTGAGAGTGGTAAGTACAAAAAATATCAATATAGGCAATGCAAAATGTGTCTCTTACTTATATCAAGTTTTAGTGTCGTCAAAAATTATGGATATCTTTTAACTTCGTACTAATTAAATTTTTAGATAGATAAGGAAACATTATTCTATTAGTAATTGTAAGAAAATGAACTTGACAGTAGAATAGAAGTGAAATAACTAATTAAAGTAGAATTGTTTACCTTGAAAGTTTTAGTCAAAATAAGTCAAGTCAAAATATTAAAAAATGTAGTTAACTAGTAAATTGAGGAGCAACATGTTTGATTTTCGGTAAATAAGTGATTGCTCCATTTACGGTATATTTACTTGACCTAAGTAATGTTAGAGATGATTATAATTATTTTTCGAAATACAAAATATAAAGTAGGTCGCTTAGCGAATATTATTTTCAAGTAAGTATCAATATTCCTCCATTGAATTTAAATAATCTTACAGTCTGCATCAAGTTCATTAAACGACATCGTAATTATTCCTTTGTGTGGGAAGTAAACTTAAAATGGAAGACACGAACCCTACGTTTGCGCGGTCTAAGCCATTAAATGCCATAATAATTACTGAAAGTTTCCTAGCTCATTTCACGTCTGCAATAGAAAATGTCGTTTGTTTTGTATGCAAACCGCTTTTGATCAACACCAGTAAATAACTTGTTGACCGCCTGTCTAGTTAAAAAACCAAGGGGAATTAATAATGTATATTATACGGTACATATTATTATTTTGTCAACTTCAAAAAAAATGTGTTTCTTATTGGATGTACAGTAACGCGAGTACATACATAGGAATTTTATTGTATTTACTAGATTTAGGGTCGCAATTGCAGGGCCGATTTTCAACCAACAGATAATTCCGAACTGTGTATAAATTTGGCATTTGACAGTTTAAGTATGGAAAAATTGACAAATATTCAAAGCAGTTATTCCTCTGATAAAATTGATCTGGCGTTGGAACAGTTGGCACTGACTTGACCAAGTTTTGGGTGACTTATTTGCCCTCCCGTCTTACGCCGTGATGTGGCAGCCAAATTGCGACCTCCAAAGAAGAGGCCTGCGGGCGACTGACTAGGGGAGTCAGCGTAGTCGCTGTATAGTAGGCGTTAGCGTGGTGTTCCACGCGAGCCACTCAAGGAAGGGAATCAACCCCCAAGGGCTGCTACGTGGTAGGACCTGCCACAGTATAGGAGTAGGTCGAAGCCTGCCGGGTGCGGGTGCAGAGAAGGAACACCGCGGTGGTTTTAGCCGGTAAGAGCTGGCACAACCCCCATAGTCCTCACAATGTGGGAATATCCATGAGGATTTCTATCGTGTTATGAAAAAAGGGTGTCTTTTCTGAATACTACATTTATAAACATTGATTAAATTGTTTGTACTAAGGCTAGTAATTACCTCTACATGTTTATTACATGGTAAAGTCCTGGCTCATTTTACTTAAGATTTTACATGTTATCATTATACGTCGACTACTGAACAGTTTGTAAAAGGGGTTTGCTATAATCTTTCTGCTTTTTTTAAGGAGGGAACATCATCGAATGTCTTCTCCCGCCTGGGTGAGGTAGGAGGGAGTATTAGCCTCTTACTGACTAAAAACCACCACGTTCCGACTTCTGCACTTCGAGCCGGAGCCCTGGAAACCTTTGTGCTTGCTACGCAGTATTAGGATGGCAGTTAAATTACCAACAATTTAAACGATACTTCTGCTTAGGTTTGGTCGGATTGGTGATGATTTTAGTCAATAGTTGCTAGTTTCTGTACTTGGTGCTTGCTATCCTGATATTAATTTACAAAAAAAAAAATGTAATTTCACCGAGGACGATGCTATAATTAATTTTAATAAAAATAAATCACTTACCGAACCCATGCTGTTCAAACCTATTTTATGGATGGTGAATACTGGACTCATGGTTTTTACAAACACACGCGACTGTCGGACACAGAAGTCATTTCATTTTACCATCCACTCTTTTTCACCACAACGATGTCTTCAAAATAAATACAGTCATTAAGACTCGTCGACAAATAGTATAGATCGGTATCAAAGTAATTGTTAGAGGTTGGGTCACGATACCGACTTAACACGAACTTCAATTAAAGGAATTTTGTTAACACGACTAATAGATACAGGGGTGCGACATATCTACAATTTAATTACGATGCCACTTTATTAAAATATGAGTATAGCATGGAAGAAACTTTGGCAGTATAGTTTAAATATAATTTCGCACTAACTAGATTCAGGCGTCTGTCGCTTCGACAATTTAAAAGGGAATGAGCATCAAGTCCAAATTTAATAGTTAGTCCGTGCGTGTCCAAGGCAGTATCGAAACAATAGGCCATGAGGAGCGCGCCACACGACGAGCCACTTCCCGATGTCACGTTTATGACGCGTTCACCGTAGCTTCCGTCGTAAATACTGATTGCCTGACCACCATCGCCGAACGTAATACTTCTAATTGCCCCTTTAAAAGTTAATGCATTAACTTGATCATGTTTCGATGCCTCATCACAATTACACGGCTGTGTTTGCAATCTAACGTTTTAAGTAAATTAAGTTCATTTTCTGCCGAGTTTTCTTTGTAAAGCTGATATTGTTATGTTTACCAAATGAATGACCTTTTTTGATTGCATAAAGTGACCAATAAATTAATAATTAATCATCATTTCCTGTATACCTATGTACACAGGTGACTTTTTTACCTACTGGTATGGGTCTATATAATATAGATCATTTCCTTTTTTTGAGTAAATGGATACCTATCCGTTTATAGGAAATGTAAAGGTACATGTCACAGATAAATCATACGAATTATGTTCTTAAATCTGATACATAACCTCTATCCAGGCATTATGAAACAGTCCAAAGTAATAGTATCGGTTTGTCGCTTTTATGTGCAAACAAAACAGAGATGCTACAAAAAAGCGATTGCCGTTGTCTGCATTGTTTACTTTTGCAAATGGCTAATTTGACTTTAATCAATATTGTACAAAACTGCAATAGTACCTATGTAAGATTTATTTCATTAAATTCTAATTAGGTTCTAACCTAACAACTACAATTACAAACTCTAGTTTGTAGATGGTTTCTTTTTCTGCAAGAAATGCAGATTATTACTTGAGACACAATTTTTTATACTACTTATAGTACTTATAAATACTTAAGAAAAAGCATTTTATTCGACACTGGCTACTTCTGCGCGGTTTCACACGCTCTGCTCAGCTCCTATTGGTCATAGCGTGATGTTTTATGGCCTATAGCCATCCTCGATAAATGCGCTATCCAACACAAAAATAATGATTTAAATCAGACTTGTAATTGCGGAGATTAGCGCGTTCAAACAAACAAACAAACAAAAAAACTAACTCTTCCGCTTTATATAATAGTATAAGATAAGTCTTGCATAAAGACATCATACAGTAGAAGAAATCAGCACTTATAGTAAACATGAACAGGAAAAAGTGCTGTGACAGTAAGGAAAATTAAATGGTCACCCTGAATACCCATGCCCATGGCGACAGCAAGTACCTATCTCAGCATTGTGTTGAGCCTGTTTGCTTCACCAACTGGCTATTTGGATATTGGTCTAGTCCCCATACTACTACAATTATGATATCGTGTTAAAATTAAACTTACCTCGTCAAACGGTTCTACAGTTTCTTCTAGTTGTCGTTTATATTGAGCCCGTAGTTGGATAGGGCTCAATGTCTTCGGCGAAGTGGAGCTTTCTGATCGTGAATAGTGTCGTTTGACACGAGTTTTGCTCCGGTTATGGGAACCGGAGGGTCCAGGATGCGGTGGACCCGAATAAGTTAATGTGAACGGTTTTCCATCGCGGTATCTGGAAAATATGCTGATATAACAAAATGTTCTTTAATTTATTAACTGATTTGAATTTATTAATTAATGTAATTGGTCAATTAGTCTCCGTAGTCCCTACGTTCTTAAGATATTTGTTAAGTTTTAAGATATTTGTTGATGACTTACGTACCTACCATTTTTTAAGACAAATACTTATATTTGGAGTTATAAAAATTAAATATCATGTGATTTTAAAAGTTCCTTTAATAATAAATAAAAATAATAAATAAAATGTTTATTTGGTGTAAAAATCCAGACTACAAAATAAATTTTACATAACATGTGGTGGTTACTTTCTAGGCAGACTGTTATTTCTTTTAATTGCATTGATTTGTTTGTATGAGGTGTTCAAAGTTAGTATGTTGTTTGAATACCGCATATTGCCCTAACACATCTTTTGCGCTTTAAATACTATATCCGTATTCGTCAAGTTCTCCCAAAAAATAATGCCGTATCGTAATATCGATGACACACATGCATGATACGCCGTGATTACAATAACCTGGTTTACCTCTTTTGCGAGTAAATTCGATTTAAAGAAAATATGTTGGGGAAAATTTTCATTATCAATAAAAAAATCACATGTGATCAACCTTGCAATTTGGGATAAAGGGTTTACGCCAAATGTAAAATGTAGCTAATGACATCCCAAATGTTAGAAAAATTAGTCCATGCACCAAACATCATGCATATATAACTATAGTATTTTAATTATTTATCCATTTTGAGGAGCGCAACCTGAATTGAATCTGATATTTCAAAACCGAAAACTTTCGGGTAGATGATCATTAATTAAATAATAAGGGCAACGCCAAAGATGAGCTGAGGTAAAATTGGAATTCCATACATGCTATCATTGTACACGATTTACAATATTTTACTGCAGTTTTTAAGGTAGAGCACTAGCTCTACCTTAAACTACCACTACCACTAGGTAATAGTCTTCAAGCCTATTGCTATTTCATCGCTTAAGCAAGCAATTTAAACTTACGAGTAGGGTTGGTCGTCTAATGTGTTAGAAGAGGTGTTTCGTTTACGTGTGTTTATAGATTGACGAGTGTCGCGACGTGCCGCTGCAATGATGTAAGTCCACATTGCGCGGAGATCAACCTTCCGCTCGTCCTGAAATATAATATTCTATTAGCACAGTTCTACAGGATTCATTAAAGCAACCAAAACAATGAGATTGTTATGATTTCTCATTGTTACTTCTTATTAGGGGTCGACTACAAACATTCATTATAAACTATACATCGCCGCGAATCCGGTAAAAATGCTGTTCATTCTCCGGCGAAAAATTGGACGTCTACAAAAGCGCTCCTTCGCTCCGTGAAAATATAAGTTCGATTTACCTCGGGCTACCTAATTAGTAGTCAATTGTTTATAAACATCTGCATTTCAGAGGGTCCTATTTTTCGTTTTGTTTTTCTTTTTCCATACATTGAATAAAGAGTATTTTCTGGGCGCTATAATATGATGTTTTTATGATCATTAGGAAGAATTAATTTATTCATTCATCATTAGTTCAGTAATTTGGAAGTTCTAACTGGAATTTAAAATATTACAGAAAACGGTCGAGACATACAGCATAGATAATAGGGAGTAGTTTAATTTTGTACTTAACGGTTTTCTCGTATAATGCACAAAAAAAAGAGATATTAAAAAAAAAAAACTGTTTTTGGCCGCCATTTTTTCCAAGAATGCTGCGCGTTCGGTGCACGTACAACGGTACAATATGTAAATCTAAAAAAGCACATCAAACGCTACAAAATTGCAGGTTTTCAAAACTCCAGGAAAACTTTCCAGATAACCCCCATATTTCCTTTTTAATAATCGGACTACATGACATGTATTTTGTTCAGCATTTTTATTATTGTATACTTAAATATACACATTTTCAAATTCAAGTTGTAAGTGACAACTAATCGATGCCTTTTGGGGGTGTTCCGAAATTACATTTCCTTTAAAAAAATATTTTTTTTTTATAAAAAATTACAGTGTGTTTGGAAAATAAAAAGTAAATCTTCACAAAATATCGTTTAGAAAAAAAAAATTCAACAAATTTTCTCCTGCTAGTCCTGACCAGTGATGTCGTAATAATGTACGTACATACGTTTAAGTATATATTTAGCTGCGCTGTTGGTTGTGTGGTCCTAAGTGCAACTGCTCAACAGGGTCCGTGTGTTCGATTCCCTGGTAGGAGAAAGTATGTATTTAAGCTACTTTAGGGAGTTACTACTTTGGGGGCCAAAAATGCGCCGAAAAGTAAATAATATTTAAAATATTAAATAAACTGTTTAATTAAAATAAAATACAATGTGAAGACTTTTTTGCATTGGAAAAATTATGACATAAGAAAACAAAAGTATTGACAGATTCTATTGGAAGAAGAAATTACTAAAGAAAAGAGGTGAGCTAACTAATAGTAAAAAGTATGAATATGAGGAAGGTATAGAATAATGAAATGATAAATAATGAAACGTAGGAGCAGCCTACACTACTTTTGGTTTTAAGAAAATTCTCAGTAACTTGAAAAATAAAATGCTTAATTTATTTATATTTTATACATATAAGACTCTTTCAATATGGTTTTTATAAAGAACATAAACTTGCGTTGCTCTGCAATCAAAGATTTATTGTTAAAAACCTGAACATCTTAAATTAACTAAATTACACCTTTATCTTATTGCCTATTTACCTGTAATCAAAGAAACGACTTTTAAAGTTTATTCCTTTACTGTTTTATCTTCCATTTACAACAATTAACATTTTTTTTTCCTAAATTAGCACATTGTACTTTTCCGTCACCGTGGGGAAAGAAGACCGCTACCCTCCAAATATCAACCCTTCACCCCCAACGATTGAATCTGGAACCAAAAAACAGCACCACCTATACATAGCAACATATAATACACTCTCTCTAAGAACGGAAGAAAGCCTACAGGAGCTTCTATATTCTATAAGGAATATAAAGTGGGATATTGTCGGCTTGAGCGAAGTAAGGAGACTCGGAGAAGCTATTGAAGAACACGACCAATTCATTCTATACTATAAAGGTGAAACACCAGGAAGACATGGAGTGGGATTTCTAATAAGGAAAAAACTCAAACCTTACATTAATGAAATAATCGGTGTATCCGAAAGGATTGCTATTTTGAACTTAAAGATACTCCCAAACAAAGAAACATGGTCCATAGTGCAAGTCTACTCACCAACGGAACAATCTTCGAATTTAGAAATTGAAACATTCTATAAAGCCCTTAAAACTGCGATAAAAGAACACGCACAGAAAAACTATATCGTTATGGGTGATTTCAATGCGAAAGCTGGAGCACCAAGAAACGGAGAGGAAATTGTCCTGGGTTCACACAGCAACGGAAAAAGGACAAGGAACGGACAAATGCTAATAGAAATGGCATTTGAGACCAACATGAAAATACTAAATAGTCAATTCAAGAAGAGAACCTCTAATAGATGGACATGGATATCACCAGATGGAAAATATAGAAACGAGATAGATTACATCCTAACTAACAGGCCCAAACTTTTTGACGACTGTGGCACAATCGCAAATCTAAATTACAACAGCAATCATAGAATGCTTAGAACATGTCTGAATATATCATCTGCTCTAAAATCAAACCGACCTTTCAAAGCAAAAACAGCATTACCACACATCAAAGTAAAAGTAGCCACCGTAAAGGAGAATCTCACCTCAGTGACAATATGTTCTCTTAAAAACTTAAACACCCAACAAAAATATAACGCAATACATGAAATATTAACAACAGGACATAAAACACATATTGAGGACGTACCTAAAAATAACAAAAATATATCAGAAACCACAAGAAAATTACTAGAAAAAAGATCAGAACTAATTAAACTAACAAATAAAACAAAAAATATCAGAGCCGAAATAGGAGAACTGAGTAAACAAATAAAACTACAAATACGTAAAGATAGAGAACACAATAGACTTGAAACCTTCGAAAAGTTCATCAAGAATACAGGGGGAATCAAAAAGGCCGTTAAAGTTTTGTCAGATAAAACCAACTGGATAGCTAATGTGAAAAACCGACATGGTAAGACTACAACCAAGAGGGTTGATATCCTATCAATAGCTACAAACTTCTATAAAGACCTGTATTCCAGCAAGAACTTTATGGATAATACTGAACTAAACAACCACGAAGAAGTCCCACTCATACTAGAAAAAGAAGTACATAAGGCAATCAAAACACAAAAAACCGACAAAGCTCCCGGCCCCAACCAGATCGACAATGAATTACTTTTGGTTGGCAGAAATTACATTACACCATTGCTAACATATATTTTCAATGAAATTCTGAACACTGAATCAATTCCGTCACAGTGGACCTCTTCAACCGTCATTCTGCTCCACAAAAAGGGGGACAAGGCTGAAATAAATAACTACAGGCCCATTAGTCTAATGTCCAACGTTTATAAAGTCTTCGCCAAAATAATATTAGCCAGAATAACAAGAACTCTAGACGAGAACCAGCCAAGAGAACAGGCGGGCTTCAGGGCAGGTTATTCAACCTTAGACCATATACATACAGTGAGACAAGTAATTGAGAAGAGTAGAGAGTTTAATGTGTCGCTGTACTGTTGTTTTATCGACTATAACAAGGCATTCGACACAATTGAGCACGAGAATATCTGGTACTGTCTTAAAAACCAAGGGGTCGAACAAAAGTATATAAGAATAATTAAAAACGTATATACCAACAGTACAGCTAAAATCAAGTTGGAAAAGGAAGGGAAGGAAATAAAAATAAACAGGGGGGTGAGACAAGGAGACCCATTGTCACCTAAATTATTCACAGCCGTTTTAGAAGGTATATTCCGGCAGTTAAGTTGGAATAACTACGGTCTAAATATAAACGGAGAAAGACTGTCACACTTGCGATTTGCTGATGACATTGTATTATTCGCAGAAACAAGGGAACAGCTACAAGTTATGATTCTGGACTTGGAAAGAGAAAGCCGCAAGGTAAGCCTAACGATGAACACTTCCAAAACAAAAGCTCTAACGAATGCGGCTGAAGAGTCAATCATCATTAACGGCGTACCAATCGAGTATGTCAAAGAATATACTTACTTAGGCCAAAAAATTTCAATGAGTGATATAATGTCAAAAGAAATTGATACAAGAGTTGGAAACGCATGGAGATGTTACTGGCGACTAAAAGAGATAATGAAGAACAAAGAAATCAAGATGTCTGTCAAATCAAAACTTTACAATACCTGCGTACTACCTGTCCTAACCTATGGCTGCCAAACCTGGGCTCTCACTAAAGCGCTAACCAAAAAACTGGAAACTTGCCAGACAGCGATGGAGAGAAGCATGCTAAATTTGAGGAAATCGGACAGAGTACGTAACAAAACCATCAGAAACCGCACTAAAATACAAAATGTCACAACTAGAGTACGGAAACTTAAATGGCAATGGACGGGGCATATGATTAGAGGCATCGCAAAGTGGAACCGAAACATAGTGTATTGGTATCCTAGAGACAAGAAAAGAAAACGTGGCCGACAGATTAGAAGGTGGAAAGACGAAATAAAGGCGACAGCGGGAAAAACATGGACAAGAAAAGCTCTAAATCGAGCAGAATGGAAAAAAATGGAGGAGGCCTTTGCCAAAGCTGGGCAAACAGATGAAGATGTCAATGCCATCAATTAAGCTGAGACGTTAAATTAAGTCCAGTTTGTAAAATTGTTCTGTTGTTCTTATCTTTATCTGAATAAAGGCTTTATTATTATTATTTCAGGGTATTCCCTTATTCTCGAAATTATAACAATTTCGGTAATTATGAGGTTCACGGGCCTAAACCAAGTGAACCTCATGGGGTACTTGTTCGGTGGTTTCTTCTTGCAAAAACTTCCTGACAATACGACATGTGTTCAGTATTGCGGCTATTATTATTATTATGTGTTTTTACCATTCACGGGACCACAGGGTCCCGGTCATTTGGGAGGCATGCGAGGGGCCGAAGCCAACTGCTTATTATTATTTACATATATTTATTTAAAATTCTCTATAAATTATATTTCTAAATACTACTTAC